TGCTTCCCGCGGGGGGGCGTGGCAGGGGCACCGGCCTCGTCCCAGGCCCCACCCCGCAGAGGCCCGGCCGCCGGGCCCTGGCTCAGCACCCCTCTCCCCCCAGGGTCTGGACTGCTACGTCATCGACAACAACGCCTTCATCCTGGTGTCCCCGAGGCCTCACGAGGTGAGCCATGGGCCGGGCGTGGTGCCCACAGCCCCGACAGAGCCCGGGGGCGTGGGGTGTGCGTGGGGCAGGGCGGCAGGGGGCGCCCTCTGCGCCTGAGTGCGCGTGCGTGGGTGTGGAGCACGCTCTGACTCGCGTGTGTGCGTGGGCATGTGTGCACCTGGGTGTGCAGGCCTGTGCCAGTCCTGGGACTTGAACCCAGGGCCTGAGCTTTATATTCAAAAGCTCGGGCCCCGTCACAAGCGCCACTTCCGGTTTTCTGGGGGTTCATTGGAGAGGAGAGTCTCACGGACTTTCGTGGCCGGGCTGGCTTTGAACCGCGATCCTCAGCTCTCAGCCTCCTGAGTGGCTGGAATGGCAGGCGTGAGCACCGGCGCCTGCGGCCCCACTGGCCCAGGCCCCGCTGGCTGTGACCCCGCTGCCCGCGACCCCACTGCCCGCCTCTCCCCCCCCCCACAGCTTCCGAGGTGGCGGGGAACAGGGCGTTCCCCAGCTGCTGACTCCAAGACGTTTGCCTGCCTAGATTCCAGCTGTGTTCTCCTCGCCTTCTGAGGACATTTGCAAATCGTCCCGCATCCTTCCTGACATAAGCAGGGCATAAGTGAAATAACCTTCTAGGAGCTTCCGCCAGAGCCCCGGGCTCCCGACTCAGACACCGTCTGCTTTGACTCCGGAGGGGGAGGGGGGACCGTGGAGGCTCGGCAAGGTTTGGAGGTCAACCCCGAGGCCACGGCTACAGAACAGCCCAGGCTCCGCCGTGATGTGCGGGAAGGAACATTCTAGAACAGATCTGGTGGAGAGGCAGGCCGAGCGGGAGGAGGGTTTGAGTGTCCGCAGGCGGGCTGCTGTCCGGAGGATGCCCGGGCCGCCGCTCAGCCTTGCCAGTGGGAAGCCGTGTCCAGGCTGGAGGGGCCCGGGACCCACCAGGCCAGTGGACAGCCCGGCCCCGGTGCCGTCCCCTTCCGTCTGTCCATCTCTCCATCTGTCCGTCTGTCTGTTCTTGACACTAAGATCGTCCGTTCACACCGACTCTGGGGCAGGGCAGCCACAGAGCCCCTGGCTCAGAGCCGCTGGACAGGGCACCCCAAAACCTGCGGCCTGAAGCCCCAGGTTGACAACCGCCCCGTTTCTGAGGACCAAGAGCTCTGGGTGGACAGGGACGTCCCCAGTGAACCACCAAAAGAAACATAAAAAGCCAGACGTGGCTCAGCGTGGTGGCGCGCTGGCCTCGAGTGAGAGCGCTCAGGGGCACGCCTGCCGGGCCCTGAGTTCAAGACCCACGGAAGGAGGGAGGGAGGGAGG